ATTCCAAATGGTTAAACAATATAGAAAGTATTAAGACTTTACTGGATATAGCTGTAGTTAGAGAAATCTTTCAGTGACTATAGAAAGATGTAGCGTCAGTTAATGTTCGTGCCCGATTAACAATGATAACTATATTCCCATGCATCGTTCTCTAATTCATCTGTGGCTCGTTTATGTAACTTTTTCACTTCGTTTTCTCGAACGATTTTCTCACTTTTGACAATTACTCACTAGAAGTGAGTAATATATATATATATATGTATATCCTAAAACCTAGATTATTTTCTGCTGTTGTCTCAAGCGTTGTTAAAATCTGACTCACAATGTTATGTGTATCTCTAACCAAAATTCCGAATAGTTGTAGATTAGGTGTGTAGTTTTTAATTCCTATTGGAAAAATTTTATTTTTCAATACGAGTTTACGAATTTTATCATTATTTCAGCCCTTTACATTTACATTCTGGCTTACTGTATTCCAATGTGTTATTAAAAAAAATGTTCGTATTATATGAAAACAATATTATCAAAAACTTCAAAGTAATTGCAAATTAATTAGTTAATTATCTACTACTTCAAGATAAAATTACAAAAATTTGTGCTGCATTTATTTAGTAAAGAGTCTATATATTGAAATATTACAAGCGCTTAGAAGTACTAAACAAATTTTGTCTCTCACTCCTTAACCTAACCTGGTTTGATATTAATTAATCCAGATTTTGCATGTTAACATTTGTTTAAAATATGAGTATGACTGATTGTGATGTATATGTGTCATACGGATATATGTGATATTAAACATATCACATGCTTTTATACATTGATGCAGCTTATTTTAAGTAGTTTACATTAATTGACTATTAAATCATTTTAAATTAGTTCATAACTAGTGTACAGCTTCAATTGCGTCTAGAAAACATAATTCATGCATAAGAACTTGCAAATATTTATTAAATATCATAATTGCTTTTATATATACAAGTATTTATCGTAATGCTTGAGATAAATTTAATAATTTTGACAGAAAGGAATATGCAGCTGTCAGCTTTCAATGGAGCAAATCAAATGAAACATCTCAAAGTTTAGATGCAAAAAAAGGAAAATTATTTCAATTGTGAAGAGAATCTGATGCTAAATTCGTTTATCTTTGAAAAGGTATTTAATCAATTATTTGAAGAATGAAAATGATATCCCTCAAATACAATAAAAATAATCCCAAATCACTTCAGACTACACATCTTAAGTGAAAACTCTTAAATGCCACCAATTAGAAACGCAAATAAAAATTTATTTCAGTTGAAAATATACCTTTCAATTGACATTAAATACCACTTGAATGAAATGAAATTCCCGCCCTCAATGTCATGCATCCATCTGCCATCTGATAATATTAAGAGCAGGCTTTTACAAGTGCAAAAAAAAGGAAAATTTACTTAAAAAATGTAATCCTTTTGTTAAATAAACTAAACAGAAAAAAAATTGATACAGTTTCGCTCATTTGATTATATATATTTGTTGCTATTCCTTTGCCGTACTCGTATAGTAAATGATAACCGCATATCACCCTACCTACTTACGCCGATTTATTTAGTCCATATATGTGTGTGTGTGCAATAATGTTTAAACTCGGATATAGCATACATGTTACAAGATACATACTTGAAATTCCTAACAAAAGATGTAAATTCCATTGGTACTGACAAAATACGAAGCATTGTGTACTTTCTCTGTGGCAGGACTTGAGCATGTTCGCAAGTACGAGTATATGTGACGCAAATATTCGTTACATTATTATCCTTATTTTATGTTGTTTACGTTAAGGATAACGATTTCTGTTAAGTTCATTCCATGTTATAAAATCTGACTGAATTACTTTGACGTGGCACACAAGTGAAGGCAACTCTATGCGATGCCTTACATGGATGGTTGTGTGCATTTTAAAATCTTATTGAATGACAATACATTGACTGACATGATGTTAATAATGTTTCACTGAAATTTAATATATATCATATCATTTCTTTACTAATAATTTAATAAAAAAAAATATCTTCAAGTTTCAAATAAAATATGAACAACGAGTTAACTTTAACTTAATTTAACTTTACTTTAAAAAGTTACTTCGAGTAATGGTTTTAAATATTGGTAGTTTTTAAATTTATATATAAATTTAAATTTTAATTTAATTTAAATTTAATAGATATAGAATAAAAATTTTTGAATTGAATTTAGAAATAAATAAAATAATTTTAATACATTTTTTTCATATAATGTTAATTATATATATATTCTGTTCAAGCTAGTTGAGTCGGTGCACTTGAGCACTTTTATCCTATATTAACTGCGAGGTTTCTTCAAAACCCCTCTCTACAGCTTGTCTTGATTATTGTTTATTACTTCATCAGACTAAGCAATAATTGACCTCAGATCTGCATACTTCCCCGAGGTGCCTGTAACCATTCCGATACTCGATAACGCGGTGTTGTAAATCTGTCAGTTTTCGTAAATAATTTCAGGGCTTGACTTCATAATTCAGTTAATAATGATAAAGCATATGCGTGATAAATAAATTGCATTAGGCGTCATGATTAGTATTATTTACTGATGAAAAACTCACCTCATATTAATCATATTTTAGCATGAATGCTTTGACAGCTTATTCAGTACTTTGTACTCAGTACTCATAAAAGAAGATATATTATGAACAAATTCAGATCTCGGGAAGACTACCTATTTTAAAGCTATTAAACAAACTCTAAAGGTCAAACATAGGCTAAGAAATTAATTAGTCTCCATAATGGAATCTCTAATACGCTCTAATAATACTCGCAACACTTAATAGAGAAGTTAATAGAATTCTCAACGGGTTCTTGACAGATCACTCAAGACTGAGGTATCATATTAAAACAATTGAAAATTCTGAACACATTCTCTGTGAATTTCCTAAGAGATTTAGTAGCCTAAACCTATCCATTTGTAATAATATGTAAGATGAGGAGGAGGTAGAATCCATTAACCACTTCCTGTGTCTCTGTCCAGGACTGCAGACACGGCAATTCCAATGTCTTGGGTATCGCTTTTTCACTGGCCTGGAAGAGATAACAAAAGCAAACTTATCGAATCTCCTCAACTTTATCTGGAAAACCAAATGGTTTAACAAGGATAGTACACAAAAGATAGCAAAATTTAGCAATTCGCCTCACCCGGCAAAATCTTTGAGAGCATCACAATGTGCAATAAATACCTCCGAATGGAAGTGCTAATAATTGTCGCAAACGCCTGCTCAACCTAACCTAACCTAAAGAATCATTAGATTCTTTTAAAATGTAGTCACTTCAAGCTTGCCTTCTTATATGCTTAATAACAACATCAGAACAATTCTTGTTGTCAATATATTTAAGTACAGCATTAGACCAATGCTTCAGCTTTAGCACATTGATCCATGAGTTTTCCAAGGAATAAACTGGGCTAAATACTCTGTATGATATTCATCGCGAATTTACCTGTATCGATTGACCAGTAGCACCCAACTGACAGCAAAAATTGCACTTTACCGCATTCCTGAAATTTCTCAAAAAATGTGCTGACCTCGATACTTTTTAAAATATTCACTACGGATATACCGGTCTAGATTGAGTAAAGTTTCAACTCAACACTTTCAACTTTTAAACATGTTGCACTTTTGCAAAAAATCTGCTAAACCCAATACCATATACGATATTTACTGCGAATGTACTTCTATCGATTGACCAAATATAGCAACAAACTCAGATGTTATAGCATATAAAACAACTGGTAGAAATCTAACTGAAGCATCTGAATAACTGCATAATTAGCTTAATTTATAACTTAATTTATGTATGCTTGTTAGAAAAAAAACTGTCCTCAACCTCAGCAATACTGTAATTGTGTCTGTAAATATATGGGACGAGATTCCGTCTACTCAGACAAACCTGTTTATTAAGATGATAATGCATATTCAGTTGAGTTCTAATGAGGATGGCCTCGATACTTTAGTTGAACGGAGCCAATAACAAACCCATAACTTATTCCACAATAGCGCTCCAGTACATAGAATTTAGTAGTTGATTATGATTATCTGTGGACATATTGTCATTAATTTCTGTGTTCCTAAGCACGTTGCAAAGCATCATTCTGTTCTTACTTGCCAGTTGCGGTGGCATGTCAATGGCAATCTGTTAGATTTTGGAAGAAAACATCTATAAAATCTTAATTTCTGTAATATTTTTGTTTAGATTGTAAATATGGGCGCTTTTTAATAGTTTAGCGAGGTTGTTTTGGGTGCAGAATTCAATGGCTATGAACGTTACTATGCTTTCTAAGAAAATTTTTTTAATTATAAGCTAAAAATTAAATTATTTAAAATTAAAAACGGAGTAAATTTTTTACTCAACAACTGTAAAGAATAAATTCTTTTAACAAAATAGGGTTTAAGAGCCTTAAAATAAATTCGCAACAAATGGAACTGCTTAATTTTTGATAAATATGGCTCTCAACCGAAAAAGATTATAAAATGAATAATGCTTTTAGCAAAATTTTTTATAAATTTTAAGTATTTTTAAGTCCTATTAAATCAAAAGAACATTCTTAAAAGGTATGCCTTTGCACTACTTCGCAAAAATGAAAAATAAAGAACATAAGAAGAAACATAACAAAAGCAAAATAACAATTAAAGAAGAATCAAGAGCAGTTATTTTACTGTTTGGAATAAAATAAAAAAAAATGGAAGAAATGCAAATTATGTCAAAAATTGTTTCTAATTTGCATACTTCATTTTTTTGCGCTTCCTTTATAATAAAAAGAAAGCCCAGAAACTTAATCCGTCAGTTTGCATTATACTTGCGTTATAAAGTTATATATTTTTTTTTTGAGCGCCTAAAACCGTGCTTAAATTTTCATTAACATTTAATTTAATTTTTCTCGAATTTAATGCGCAAACTTTTTAATCAATTTTTTAACATTTATACTTTTTCGTTTATTAGGTCCTACTGTGTTAGCAGAGTCCCTACAAGGTACATTAGGACGTCTGCCGTGTAATGTGACGCCTCCCATTGCTGAAGATCGAGTTGCTCTGGTGATTTGGTACAAATTTGGGTTGAAGACGCCAATTTATAGGTAAGCCAATTAAATCATATTAGGGAACTTTTTCATAATTAGTTTTCTTCTAAATAAAATCTAAAATCCTTTAACACTTAAGAATGAACTGAAAAATGAGACATGACAAAGTTGTTAGTTGTTTCTTGTTGGTTGTTTCCTGTTGGTTGTTTGTTGTTAATACGTGAACTCTAAAAATATTCACAGTTTTAGTTTTTAGTAATTTCATTTCAGTTAAAATAGAAAATTTTGTTGTTTACTTCGCTTAATTAATGCTAAGCTCAAAAGTTGCAATACTTAGCAGCACTTAAGTTTCCGCACTTTGTAGAGAAGAGTGAAGTGAACATTTAATGGAAATGTTGTCTATTTTTGTTTACAAAACGAACAAAAAAGTAATCAAAAACTTTCCAAAGAAAACTAATTAATGTCACATAACATATTTAGTGTGAGCTACAGTTTTCACTCAGCAAAATATTAGCATAATAATTTAAATAAGAACCGAGTTGTCAGATTTCCTCCGACCAAAACGCAATGATAAATTAAAATGATGCAAAAATTGTGAAACTTTATCCGAAAAGCAAACAACAAGCAACTTTTGCCTGACACGAAAACATACTTAATTTTGAATATTACAAAACTAAAATTTATTCATTTTTAATGTAAAATTTTTACTTCAATTTATTTTTGCATATTTGTCATTTTTTTTCATTTTTTTGATTGCTTTTAACAGCATTTATAACAAATTTTTTATTTACATATTTTTTTGTTGTCCACTCGAATACGTTTCTTTGGACGTATTCCAGTCCTCGTACACTCTTAAGTATTACTAAACTTTTATAATTGACGCCATTTTCTAATATTTCTTTTTCTTTTTTCACTCCCTTTGTCCTTTGTTTTTTACTTTAGTTTTATTTCCACTTTTCAGTTGTTGTCACTGTTAGCGTTTTCTTACATTTTCATCCAATTTGCCACTTTGTCTCTAAAGTTTATTATTAGTCCTCCTTTTTTTATACTTTAATGAGCTGCAAACTATTCTCTCAAGCTGTTGATGAATTTCAATTAGGATTCCTCCGTTTAATTGATTTAAGTAAAACTTTATTATTATATAGTGTCCCCCACTTCTTATACGCCTTTCAGCCACAGTGAAGACACAGTGACGAAACTTACATTGCAATTTCGACGGGGTCTTAATTCAAGATTTTAACTTGGAAAATTTTAATGCGAATTGTAATTTTTTCTTTTATTCTCTTTTCAATTTTAGTGTCGATACGCGTGACTCAAACTTTTCCCAGGGTACACATTGGTCAGACGCATCATATCGCGACCGTTTGTCATTTGCCGTTGAAGGACGTTCGGGCACACTTGCAATTAGGAATACACATCAGGACGACACTGGCGAGTATCGATGTCGTGTTGACTTTCAGAAGAGTCCCACGCGAAATTCTAAAGTCAACTTAACCGTCATAAGTAAGTGTGAACTAAATTCATTACTCAATAGAAAAAATGTTGATTTAATTGAATATCGAATAACAAAAAGTGTTGTGAAGCAAAAAATATTGCATTCAAGGTTTTATCGCATTTTTAGTTCTTTAAAAAATTTATCGTTTTTAAGTGGTTACATGATACATTACATACAAATGAGACATAAATAAAGATTCTATAACCTCAAAAACTCACGTTAAATAAGTAATAGATGATGGAGTAAACGACCTCATTATAGTGGGTGTGTTAATTAAAAGGACATATAATAGGCTACAAATAACTGTACTACACAAGGTAGGAGGGTCAATCATTTTTGAGATATGGAATGATATATTCCATGTTTAGGCTTCTATCGAAATGAATACTAAATAATTTACCTCAAATGTAGAAACGAATTTGAAAAGGAAAAGTCATTCAACTGAAACTTAAAAGGAACTCAAAAGTTAAACCAAAAATATATTCAATTAAAACATAAAGTATTTAAAATTGATATTATATTACATATAATATCAAGAAAGTATTTACATTCTTCAAGTAGATACTTTTTAGTTAAAAGTTAAATTAGAACTTAATGACCTATGTTTTTGTATTCATTAACTATTCATTGGAATGACCACAACACAAAGACTCCATCATAAACACATATGTATGGACTACAGGCTAATAATACTATGAAGCTTATAGTGGCAGTCAAGAAAAACCATAGGACTCGTGTATTGTCTTAGGGATAACCGGTAGATATCTTACTACTAAAGGGTAGCTTCATTCCGTTAAATAGAATTGCATTGATCTTATTATTAAAAGTTTAAGCGTAAAGTCGCCCAACAGCCGGTACTGCGGCCAGAAGAGTCCTATTGTACCAGATCGTATTGCATTGATCTTAGTAAGATGTTGAAGAAAGTAGTTCTTGCCTCCGACACTTAACTACTAAATTAAAATTTGATTTTTTTAAGTCACTTTTAATGTAAAAGACCATCTTTTTTAATATAAGTAAAAAATAGTACTTTTATGCAGCAGTATTTCGAGCAGTAGTGAATCACAACAACAAAAAATTTTAATACTTATTAACTAATTGAATTTTTGGCTAATTATGTAGTTATTTCGAGTATTGCCAAATACTCATCACCAGTAGTCTTTTTAAAAATATTTCTTGTACTTAGGTTAGGTTAGGTTAGGTTACTGGGGCCGTCCGAAGACTCACTTAGACCATGAGGTCCATTGTGATACCCTAAGAATTTGACACCTGTCCCTATAACCACTTGGTATTGGCTACAAAGCCATTCTTGTACTTAATTCTTCGTAAAAAATTTTTTTAAACTGCACGTACCAAGGATTGAACTCTTGCCCTGCCAAATTTTAAAGCTCATAGGCAGCATTCATTAGCCAACTGACCCAAAGCTACAAGTACCAAGGATTGAACTCTTGCCCTGCCAAATTTGCAGTTCAGAGTCAGTATTCATTAGCAAACTAACCCAAAACTGTACTCGACTTATATATTCAAACTTGAAATTTTATTAATTTTTATTTGGTGTATTATATTCCAACGAAAGCATGAACCAGCATACATAACCATAATTAATTATGGTTATGTATTTTGAATTCTAAAAATGAAATAAAAATTAATGAACTTGAATTTTAACGTCCGTTTTGATGAAAAAAACTAAATTCTTAATATAAACTGTTGTTTTCAATAGTAAGGTAATTCGAATAGTATTAAATTACAACAATAAAATTCAATTAATTAATGCAATATTGTTGTAATTTAATAAAAATTTATTATAAATTCGTAGTCATAAAAACTCATATTTTAAAAGCAATTTACTCTAATTTAACTATGCACGGATCTCTTTTGTTAATTATTTTTGTTTTTCTGAGGGTTTTTGTTAATTAAAATTTAAAATCCTTATTCATAACTATACTTTAAGTATAAACTATTTTCTTTACTTTCAGTACCACCTGAATCTATTATAATACTTGACAGTAAAGGAGCTACCATAAAGGACTATAAACTTGGGCCCTACAATGAAGATTCCACAATAAATATCACTTGTGTGGCTGTTGGAGGTAAGTAGATTACACCCACATCTAAGCAGTTTACAAAAACAAATACTGTGAGCTTCATTAAATTCATTAAAATTATGCATTTCATCTCATTACTATATTCATGCAATTAAACTTGTAATTTAAACGTCATTAAGCCGCTTTCGAAATTGAAAATTATTACTCGTCTTACAATTTAATGTTGCAGCAACAGTTTTAGCAGCAACAACAACAACAACAACTACAATACTTACTACTTATATAAATATCTGCACACATGCGAATTCAACTTTTTTCATATTTGATTTAAATGAGCCTTAAATGAGACTCATACGTAATGTGTCTAGGATAATAACTGCACAATTCCCAATGCTTGCTAACCTTGGTACTGTAAATAATATTTTGTATATCATGCTATATTGTTGTATTTGTTTTTGTTTTTGCTTTTGTTGTTTTCGTTCGTGATGATGAACCACATTTCATTCCACATTTCATTCAATTGTCTTGAGTAACAAAATGAAAAGATATATTTTATCAGTTGCGTATGGCAGGGATGTTATTCGTTATTCGTTATACGTACTACGTACAGTACTTAACACATTCGCACAAACCTGCAAGCTTGGATGTGCATGTAAGCTTGAAAGGATATATGCTTACAATTATTTACTTTGAAGACAAATATATTCTTAAAGGTTCACAGTTGGGCTCACACATAAGTGCGGCAACTTGACATGACTTTTACGTCATTTTTATTACGCATGTGAGCCTGCTTATTAACGTTGCTCTCGGCAATTAATAACAACTGAAGAAAAATTGCATAAATTATTTGCACATATTTTTCGTATGAATTCCTTTAAGGGGGAAAAAAAATATAGAAAATATTATAAAAATATAAGAAAACTTAAAGTCATCAAAGTATTCATCAAAGTAAAAGTGTAAGTGTAATATACAATAATAATTTACTTTGTATGCACTTATTTGTGCTCATTCGTCATTAATAACCACTTCGGTGAGGAATAATAGCTTTTATGATATCTAAACAACATTTTTGTTGATAGTTTTGTCATCTTTCCAAGAATATCTGCTCAATGCACTTAGTATTGTATCAGCAAGTACCATTGTCTGTTGTGCTTATATTTTACTTCGTTTGCTTATTTGACGAGTATCTCAATATTTGCTTCTAACTTATTGTTGCTGATTCCTGTACAATTACTCTGACAACACTTGAGAATGTCAAAAATCTAACAACTAGAATGGAAACAACAATATTAATAACATCAACCAAACACTCATGTCATTTGGTTGGAAGTGGCAATGAAATGACAGTTTTCCAAACCATAACAAGAAACACATCACATTCAGCAATTTTATGGAAGCTTTTCAAGAAATACCTCTTGATTTTCCTTTGTATTTATCTTCTTATTTCGTTTACTTTTTTGAAATTTTTTTTTCATCTTTTCTATTTACTTATTTTGTTGTTTTTTTTTTCTTTTTCCTTTTTGCTCTTCTCTATCAAAACAGGACGTCCACAACCTCAAGTTACCTGGTGGCATGAGAACACTTTGCTCGACAGCAAATCACACGCATTGTCAGAACGTCGTGTGGGGAATATTTTGTCGCTCGGTAAGCTACAACGGAAGAATCTGCACATGCAACTAACGTGCCAAGCGGACAACAACAATCTGACAACGCCAATTTCTAGCACAGTCACACTCGACATGAACTGTAAGTACATACATATACTTTTCCCGTTTTCTAATAAGTCTTACAAAAAGATATGAAAGGTTTATAAAAGTTTCTTATTTCAAGAATATGTTTAAATATAATATTTATTAAATTAAAATCTTTTACTCAGGAATCTATAATGTAACTCTATGGCACTTTACTCTATGATGGCGGAGGGGTTTCTGCAGACTCCCACCCATCTCACTGACTAATTTGACTATTCCTCATAATCTTCGTGTTTATTCAATGATTGATCAAAGATCTGCGTACCGCCCCGTGCGCTAAGTGATTACTCTGAGATTAGATAGTGCTAAGTAGGCCAGCCTGTCGATTTTCACATATAGCTTCAGAGCTCTGTCACTTACGTATTTTTTGACCGGATCTATTCTAAGGTTTCAGAAAATACAGAATTTTGAACGGCTAATTTCTAATTGCTTAAAAACTGTTCAAATATTGTAAAGCGTTTCAGTAGGGCCAACTTATACCAAAAGTCAAATATAAATAATTACGGCATACAATTATTATATTTTTTGCTGAAACAATTTTATAAAGACGTTTTCGAAAAGCAGTAAACTACAACAACAAAAATTCTTTTTAATATTATTTTAATTTGTTGAATTTTGGCTACAAATACAGCTGTTTCGAGTATTGCGAAATACCCATCTTGGTCTTGGTCTTGGAAATAATTATTGTATTTAATTATTCGTAATAAATATTATCATAAATCTTACTTAAACAATAATGGCATACAATTATATTCCCAGTGGTGCTATTTTGATAAACACATTATCTTTAATCTAATAAAATTCTAAAGAATCTCATCCTTTCGATATAAACATTACTTTTGTGGTGCAACTTAAAGTGCAAGTCTGTGCCTTAATTATTTTATTCCGTATAGAAAACCTCTTACTCGATGGTATCATCATTATATTTAGCTGAACAACTCACATTAGGTATTCACCTGCATGTACTCCAAATAATACCTGAAGAAAAGCATGTACGCTCTGAGTAAAAACATAGCCTAGAAAAAAAAAGTTAAATACAAGAAAAAATATATATTTTTTTAGAAATTTTATACGAATATAAATAATGTCAACACTTCATTTAAACTTTGACTTCTTATAACTGCCGTGCAACTCCCCATCCTGAGCAGCCTGCACACCACACCACTTAATGCCATAATTGTAGCGTTAACCATTGTTATTTGCATGCTACTTTGGAACGTCATTTCTAGATTAAAAGTGGTTTTTCCTTGAGGCACTCATGAAATCGTGTTGTTATTTCATCCAGTCAACCCAACTTCAAAAATTTGTACCGCAACAACGACGAACGCGTTGCAATTAAACTTAATTGTACGTGCCAAATTACGATTCCTTATGGTTACAAAAAAGCTTTGTAAGAAAAAAGAAAACTTTAAAAAAAATCAAATAGAAAATGAAACAATCTTTAAGTTTAGTAAATATAAATTCGCTTTCTACTTACCCTCTTCTAAACTTATTATACGTCGAGTTTCTATCATATTTTAAACCAAATCTAGGCAAAAGTTTTCTTTGAAGTGCACTCTTGTCCTTCTTGTTTTCATTTTAGTGTTGAAAGATTAAAAACTTCATATTACGGCCACACACATTTGTTGGTAACGTTTCCTAGCATTAAAATCTTAATTCAAATAAATTAACTAAAATTATTTAAAAACTTTTCAAGTGTGAAATTAATTTTTCGCTTTTACTCACCACATAAGATTAGATTTGTTAGTTTTATTTTAATTTTAATTAAAAGTGAACATTTCCTGATTTTGCACTGGGTAGGGGAACAATTTTGACTGGGTCGGGAACTCCAGTTTTCACCTTATACCAGGTACTTTAAAGCTTAAAACATTCTAGTTTTCATTCGTTAGATTATTCAATCATTCAAAAATTAGTCATTATAGTGTTGAGCTTAATGAAATATTGTTTAGAAGAGATATTTCCTCAGATTTGCTTTAGACTAAGAGGAATATATTGTGGTGCGAACTTCTTTCTCCTATTAAAATAAAGAACTTCTGAAAAGCTGATCTTGATTAGACGACAAAATTGCACAGGTTAGCTCTAGACTAAAAGGGAAACTTTATGGTGAGAACTTCTATCTCCAACTAATATCAAGAACTTCTGAAAAGCTGATCTTAATTAGAAAACAAAATTGCACAATTTAACTCTAGACTAAAAGATAACTTTGTGGTGGGAACTTCTATCTCCAACTAATATCAAGTACTTCTGAAAAGTTGATTTTAATTAGAAGACAAAATTGCACAGTTTAGGTCTAGACTAAGAGAAAAACTTTGTAGTGGGAACTTCTATCTCCACCTAATATAAAGAACTTCTGAAAAGCTAATCATGATTAGAAGGGAGAATTGCTCAGCTTTGGTCTAGACTACAAGCAAGATTTTGTGTTGAGAACGTTTATCTTCAACTGCTATCAGGAACGTCCCAAAAATTTAACTTTTACCACCATAACATATGTGAGACGAAATTTATTCTTTTTATAAAGGGGCAATTGTAGTTGCAAAGTTGTAATGGTCGGTATGACTACATTTAAAATAAAAGAGGTAGAGAACTGCTGTATCCATCTAATGTCAATAACTTTTGAAAACAAATATTCTTGACTTCTTTTGCAAGGTAAAATACTTAGGTAAGCGAATAATTAAATATAATAAATAATTCCAATACCACTGATGATGGGTATTTGGCTATATTCGAAACAACTGTATAGTCACGCATAAAATTCAATGCAATAAAAAATAATTAAATATTATGTTGTTGTAATTCACTACTATTAAAAATATCTCTCTATTAAAAAAATAGTTTCTACGTATATCAATAAACGTGGTTTCTTTCTGTCCTTTCTGTTTACTTAGAAGTAGTTGTAGTGGAAAAGTTGCAATGGTCACAATCATCTACTTACTTATATTGGGAGAAACAAGAAATTTATGTATCCATCTAATATAAAGAACTTCTGAAAATGAAACGATGTTCTTTTCTGATTTAGAACTGTGTAGTAGAACAGTTTTGCTTGTCAGAGTGTTTCACTTAAAATAAGAGCCTAGTATCAATAATTCACAGATATCTTTATCTATTTATATATATAATCCTAATTGCTCGATTGATTCTAAAGCATTAATAAAATTTTAGGTTGTGATATTCTGTCTCCATCTGATATCAAAAAATTCTAAAAGAGAGGTGTTCCTAGTTTTATTCGTAGGATGGAATACTTTCTGTTTGATAAGATAGAGTTGTACTAGAAAAGATCTAATAGTGGAGCATAGTTCCATATTACACAACTATAAATATATAAATTTTATGAAAGCATAAATTAAATTTAATTTTCTAATTACTTCTTTTTTTTATTTTTTACTTTTATAAAGTGCGTCCACTTATTGTTAGACTTAAAGGTGAAAATCATCCTTTATCAGCGGATAACTCATATCAGTTGAGCTGTGTTGTCATTGGTTCACGTCCAGCTCCCACAATCACTTGGTGGAAAGGCAGTACGGCAATGAAGAATACGCATGAAATTGTAAGTATTTTGGTAGAATGAATAATATATGGAGTGTTTTCTAATGAAGTGGTATAAAAGAAAATGTAGATTCATTAGCAGAAGAAATGAAAAAAATCATTTGAAAGAAATGGTAATTTTTTTTTGCGATGGAGGAGCTTTTAACGAATATTTATGGCTTAGATACTAAGCAAAATATTTTAAAAAAAATATTTTAAATAATATTTTAAAAAATAATTGAACTAAAAGATACACTATATCTTTAAAATTGTTTATTCAAAAAAATTGTTTTAGCCTCATGAAGTAATTCATAATTCTGTATACTTAAATGGGTTCTAAATCTATTAGTGATTCAAAATTTGTCTTTTTAATACATATATTTTTTAATAAATTTTCGTTCCTTTTTATAAAATTTAATTCTGAATCACCAACAAATATTATTCATTAATATTAATTATTATGTTGAAGCTATTTGAGCCAGTTCACTTAAGCGCTTTTACTCTTTCTTAACTCGAGGTATTTTCAAAACCCCTCTTTACGCCTTGACTGGATTATTGTTTATCACTTCATCAGACTAAGCAATAATTGACCTCAGATCTGCATACCACCCCGAGTAGCCTATTCGAAAAGATTTAAGTATAGAAATATATTAGGCATAAATTTAAAGAGTATTTAATTGACTAGGCAAAGGTGTATGACTTAAGCAGTTAATATAAGTCATATTTAGATACAATATATCTAAATATTAAAGAGATTTTTATTTAGATTTTTTTTAGTATTTAATCTTCATTAGTATTTAATCTTGGAATAAAAAATTATATCTAGCTTTTATGCTATATTGTTAGAAAACATACTTTATAATTAATTTCAATTTTTAAAGAAATAATTTGTTAAAAACCCTTTTGAAATTATAATTTTAATTAAGAAACATTCATTTAATTATATACACTTATTATGCATTATATACACTTATGCATTAAATTGCTTCATTTAAAATTTAATCAATAAATATTGCATTTACTTAATTAAACAAAACAACAACAAGTATTGAAGTTAATTAATCGCTTACATAAAAATAAAATAAATTATAGAGAAAAACGTCCGTCTCAGCAGAAAATTGTAATGAAATGCACGATTCGAGTGAAAACCGCAGCTGCATTTAGCCTTGCAATTTATTTACCAATTTTTTATTTAATTTTTACTCCGTCAATGTTTGCTCTTTAAATTTTCATTGCATATTTTACGTGTCATTTTCCTTGGTAGTGTCACATTTTACTTTTAACTTTTCACTTTTAAATTTTTGATTTTTGATTTTCTTTTTAAATTTTTCCCTACATTCTCTTTCCGTATTTTGACTAAAGAAAATTCTTTGAAAATTTATTGCATATTTTTGCACTGCACTTGAATGCTTTGCTACGTTACTTTATTTAATTTTTTCTTGCGTTTGTTCAAACTTTCTTAACTCGACTGCTTTTTCCTTGTATCAGGCAAATCCGGATGGAAATATGACAACGTCAATATTGACTTTTACACCCACCATCGATGATCGCGGAAAATTTCTTTCATGTCGTGCGGAACAGAGCATGATACCTGAATCTGGCAAGGAAGATGGTTGGAAATTGGATATTTATCGTAAGTTATGTTAAAATAAAAATAATTTTTTTGAAATATCTCAAGAAATATTTTTTTACATACACTATGCTATGGAATAATATTTTGTTTTTTATATATCACAGCATTTTTTATATTTTTTATGAAACTTACTATTCTATAAAAAAACAGAACCAAATTATAAAAATATTCTAATATTATATATAGTATTAATGAAATTATCCTTAATTTATAATAAAATAAAAACAAGTTTTAAAAATTTTTCATGAAATATTTTTATACTTTTCATGAGACTTACTATTTACTACTTTAAAAATTTTATACTATATATAGGATTATAGAGATATGAAAAATATCCCTAATTTATGTTAAAAAAATAACAAGTTTTTAAAATTACTCATGAAATTTTTATTTACATATTTATTTATTTACATATGAATAGAATAGAAATAACAGGGTACTAGCTCCCATTTGAGCAGAGCACTGCGACCATGATTGATCTTTTGTGCTACAACAGACCCTAACTGAACAATAGACATTCCGCCTTTCGAATGAAGGTCAAAATGTCGGTTGTTGAGGACTTCCTAATGTCGGAAGGTGAAAGCAATTCCCGACCCAGTGATCTCCTTCTGACCCAGATCAGAGCTGGGCAGTCACATAAGATGTGGCTGGTTGTCTCCTCTGCCTCTAAGCAGAGTCTACAATCTATCTCTTCAGATAGGCCCATTTTGTTGAGATGGTAACGTAGCCCATGGTGACCCGTTAGATATCCCACTAGCATCCTCAACTCTGTTCTGCTGAAAGTGGATATCTTATTGTAGCTATAAGGGAGAACCAGCTCTTTAGCCTGACGGTTACCTCGACTGTCGCGCCAGTAGCGACTTCTCTCGGTTGAAATCCAATCATTGATTAGAGACCTAGTTGTAGACCAACTTAATCCACAGAAAGGTTCTGGGCCACATATTAGAGTGGCGGATCCTGCCCGTGCAAGACTATCGGCAGACTCATTGCCATGGATTCCTGTGTGACCAGGCACCCAGCACAGTGTCACTTTATTATTGCTTGCCAACTGCTGCAGTGTGTCATAGCAGTCTGCTAGAAGCTTTGAGAAAAACTTCCAGGAGCATAACGCTTTAATTGCTGCTTGACTATCTGAATAAATATAGATTCGGGCGCCTTTCAACCCTTTGTTAATGTTGATACGAGCGCAGACCTCGATGGCGTGAACCTCTGCTTGGAAGACAGTGGGCCATATACAATGGGTTACAATGGGTCTGACCATTGTGCGGTATAACCATGATATAATTCTAGGACTTATGCCCCAGGTTCTACCATATGAGGTCCTACATGTCCACATGACCCGGGTGGCTTTGCCAATTATATTATTCAGGTGAGTGTTCCAGTTAAGACGCTTATCTAGGGTGACCCCCAAATATTTGACTTCATCGGAGCATTCGATAGCCGTATCCTTAATAGATAGGGACCCAATATTTACTTTGTACCTTCTGGAAAAAGGCACAATTACCGCTTTTTTTTATTTACATATACATACCATTATATATGTTTTTTATAGTAGTAGTAGTATTAGCTTTATTTACTTCATTTTAAATTTGTTGTATTACATAGATATTAAAAACAATTATATTATCTATATAAACTTACAGTTATGGCATTTTAGCCGTCTGCCGGTAGTTTAGATTAATCTAATAACTTGTTTTTATAAATATGAAATAAATATTATAACTTATAAACTCAATACAATATAAATATTAAATTAAATTACTATATCAAAAATAATAGATTTCATATAAATTAATTTAAAAATCTTCGTTAATAATATTTTGCCAATATTTTAATGCATTTTTAATAATGCATATACTTTTATATGTTTTTAATATATTACAGTACTTTTTTTTATTTTTTTTTGAAATTTTACTATTTTATACAAAACAAAAACAAACTTAAAATTTTGAATTAAATTCAGGTCTATAGAGAGTTAAGGATCTGTAAAATATTGAAATCAACTATATAAAATAAAGTTAAAAAAAATTAAAGGCGCTGTATTCCATTATTTATCCGATTCATGAAATCATAAAACATAAACATTTACGTATGTGTATATAAACATTTACATATATGTACGTATATGCACCATTTATATAGCTATATAATATAATTAATAAATATTAAAAATAAAAATTGAGAAATAAATTAAATTTGATTTTATTGTCTTTCCATTCAAAATTAGGCAAAATATCAACAGCATTTTAATTAAATTTTATGCCAAAAGTAACTCATTAGAATTATATACAGATATATATTTATAATGCTCACTTGGTTTAATGCAATTCTAATATATATGTGCTGTTCTATAAGTTAAAAATATGAAATCCTATAATTTTAATATAATATAGACTTTGTGTGTTAAACATATTTAACCATTACCATCATTATCAGCCACTGACAATATAACCAGTACACTAAAATAGTTTTGTTTTGTATATATTGGTCTATTACAATCGGAATGGTTTTTAAATGCCTATGCTATATATGAGGCTCTGATAATGATAGAGCCTTGAAATTTTTTGTCCTTTAAAAATAATTTGATGACTTGAATATAATGCATTAAATATATATTATTAAAATTATTTATATTTAAGTACTAATATTAAGTTATTTAAAAAAAAATGAATTTTTAAAATATAGGTATATTGGAAATTTTTATTTTTGATTTATATTTGCCATAAAATTTTATTAAAAAACTGAAACTTCCATAATGACATTATGGAATAGTTATTAAAAAGTAAATACACGCATTATGCCAAAAAATGATTTTAATTTTATTTTCGCTTCAGATTTATTTAATTTTATTGAAAAATTGAATATTTTAGAATAAAAATATGTTTTTAAATAAAAAAAAAATAGTATCATTTGCAATTTACTCATTACGTATACACACTAAATTTCAATTTAATACAATTTTAAACTATATTCTACCAAAAATACTAATTTTTTATATTTCATACCAATTATTATTAATTTATGGTAGTAATCATCACATTTTGCTCAAAAAATTTCTTTTAGAATTAAATTATTTTAGACGTATTTTTAAAAAATAATTTAACATGTATTTCACATATTGTGTATGCAAACTAAATTTCAGTTAAATTAATTCTAAAAAATTATTAAATTATTTTTTTTAATTATAATTATTTCTAATTCTGTAATCATTATATATTCTTTAAAAATTATTTTTTTAGAATAATTAAATATGTACTAAACTAGAATATGCAGAATAGAATATTTTACATAGAAAATGTATATGTACTAAATTTCAAGTAAATAAATAAAACTATTACAAATATTAATTTTTTATTTTTAATTATAATTATTTTTATTAAACTTAAATGAACTCTTATATATGGCTATTATCATAAACTGTTCTTTGTTATTAAATTATCCATATAAAAAATTAAACAGTATTTAAATCAGATTATTTTAAAAACTGATTTAATTTGTACTTGAATATTTATAATTCTCATTTTGTTAGGTAATTGCAATTTTCGCATATGTTAAGTGTCTCACGATAACTATATCAAATAATAAAATTTAATATAATTATTAGTGTATTTGAAATATATGGACCTTGATCTTCTTACCCATGATACAAGCAGTATAACCAGTACAATAAAATAATTTCAATTTGTAAAGACATTACTATTATTATTGTTCTACCATAATTATTAGGGAAAGTGATACAATTATAATTGTAAAGACATATATATGTATGTATTTTTTTTTTTTTGTATTGTTAATGTTGCATATTTAAATGGATGTTTTGAGATGTATTTACATTTTGGAGAAGTATACAGAATTTAACAAATTTTTAAAGTTATCCGTAACTGAGTTTTGTGGCTTTTAGAAAACTATAATATAGTTACAATTAGTATCTTTGATATATATATATATATATAGGCATACCTTGAACTTTTATTATTTTTGGTTCCATAATCATGAACTGTTTTCGTAGTTTCTTATATCATTATAAATTAAATTTAATACAAAAATTGTTTATAGTTATATACATATGTTTATTTATAATTCTCATATTGTTTATTGCAATGTTTATATAAATTCTTTAAAATGTATATAAATTTTTGTATAGTTTCATCTTTCATATAATTTTTAATCTACATGTCTGGAATATATATATCCATGCCCGTTTCTTATTCATCGGTATTCCTGTAGATTAACAAAGTGCTTTAGACTTAAATCTAAGTGATCTTAGATTTATTATTGTTCTTAGCATAAGCATTTAAAATAAGTTTATTGAAAAATGTGCTTTAATTGCAGTTATATACATATAATTAATGTTTTATCGCACTTTTAATTGCAATTTTTATATTATATGTATACAGTTTGAGATACTTACATCATTTGAAGCAGCTTATAGTATTTGATGTATTTAATAGTGAGTGTGACTTAGATAAACATACTTATCCACATGAAATTCATTACTGACAGCGAACCAATACTTTAAAAGGCTTGACTCGATAAACAATATATAGCGTGCGAACTATATGCTCTACTACTAAATTTAGCGAAAATAATACCACTTATCAACATTGCTTACTAAACTACTACTTAGTAATATCATAAATAGATACTTATAACATAACGGAATCTGAAATTTAAAAATAGCCCAAAGCAATATCTTTTTATATTGCATCAATATCAAGGCCCTTTATTAGAGCAAAAATAAAATTTGTTCTGTTCAAAATCTCTACTTGAGTATAGTTTTATGAAAACGAAATTTGATTCCGATAGTCCAAACACAATTATTCCCTGCTTTGATTATTATATTAATTTCTTTGAGTATTAAGAAACCGCAAAGTCTATTTTAAAATTAAAATTGCTCAGTAGATAAAAAATAAAAACTGAGTTTTACATCTTATTTTTTTTTAAATAATTCTTATATAAGAGTGTGTATTTTAATGTGCTTTATTTAATTTCGGTAAGCTTCCTTTCTTTAAGTAAGAGGATTAATTATAATAAGGAAATCATAAATTTTTCAAAAAAAAAATCAATGAATTTAAAAATATTTATAGAATAAACCAAAACGTTTTCAACTTTTAAGTTAGCAAAATTTTTAAAAATAATTACTGCACTTTGCACCTCTTCCAGTAAATCCTGTCAAATTACTAAGTCAATATAATATAGAGAAAATTAGAATGCCTAATGTTTTTGTCCTTTGCTGAAAATGTCAAATGATGATAAGGGTTGCATGCACATACATATCTTAATGTATATCTGCATTCGCTTAAACAGTAGATAAGAAGGACACCTGAAAATTAACCTTAGAACTCAAACCAAATTTAAATGTCAAACTTCATAAGGACTAATTTTAATAATATTTTTATCATTTTTATAAACCGAACCAGAAAAAGAGAAGAAACTGTACTTTCTTACAACTTTTATATAAATTAAGTAATTTTACAAGAAAAAAATGTGTAAAGAAGAATATTTTTGGGTTAAGATATAAGTTTAAAATATTTTTAGAATTCTATTTTTAATGCCATCTACTGAATATACACACAAATTTTTTTTATATTTTTTTTAACAATTATTTAAAAAATAACATAAAGTTTGATATAATTAATTATTAATTCTTTAACTTTAAATAATTTAATATGCATTTTTTCTACATCTGCAGATATTCCGGTTGTGAGTTTGGAATTGGGCACCAACTCTATGAACTCATCACTTCGAGAAGGCATTGACGTCTTCTTCGAATGCAACATCAAGTCAAATCCTTGGATATATAAAGTCAGTTGGCGGCATAATGTAAGTTAATCTTAGTTTTTATTTTATATATTAGACACAAATTATACATTATATACATAAAGACTGTTTAAATTTAATTTTAATTTCTCTTTCACTTTCTAAAGTAAGTTTTACTTAATTTTCTACAGGTATTATATATGGAAACACACTTCTCAGTTAATATGAAACCATGAAAATTAGAATAAGAATTTTATGTACATCAGTAGATACAACATTTTTCTCGTTAATACATATTTTTTCTTAAGAATGGTCTTGCAATCTTCCCCCTTTACGCATCTATGTTATATATGCTATGTAGTATTTCGCCTTTCTATTTTGGTTAAGTGAAAGAATGTCGAATACCGCTTTAATATAGTAAATTGAAATTTGTTATTTACATATAAATTAGCCTTAAGCAGTTGCAAATCAACAAGGATAAGTCATAATATACATCGAATTCATTCATAGTCAAGTACCTTTTACCCACAAGTTTACGCACATAACACGTACATATGCCAAAATATGCTGAGGGCATAAAATTTCTTATTATGAATTTTTCCCAATTTTTCCCCATTTTTGCAGTTTTTATTTTTACATACGCCGCTGGCCAACCACTAATAAAATAAACTGCACGATTTAGAAAATAGAAATTTTTTTTACTCCTTGAAAGTCTTTATTTTTTTGTACTTTTTTTTAAAATTATTTTTATTTTATTCCTTAGTGTATAAAAAAATTGTAAGTGAAAAATTTAATAGCCTTCCAGTGAGAATATCTCTATATAATATTATTATACATATATGCATAAAATAAGTGTATATTATATAGAGTAATAACTCTCTATATTTACGTATAAGTTATGAGTTGACAACTTGATTAGATTAAGTCACATGTGACAGTAAATCCAGCTGACCAACTCAGTTAGCTCTTACAGATCGATTGCAATACATACACCTATTCATCATCATTGATTCCATCAAATTTGATAATAGAACACATCATCATTGCTTCCATCAAACTTAATAATAGAATAATAGATGAATCATAGAATAGAGTTGTGACTTTCTATATTTATGTAAAAGTTATGAATTGTTAGATTGGGTTACTATGACAGTAAGTCCAACTGACTAACGCAGTTAGTCCTTACAGATCCATTGCGATACATTCACCCATTCATTCATAATCCACTCATAAGAAGAGAGCTTTAATTTTTGTTAATTAAGGAATAATTTTGAGGCTGTAATAAAGCGCAGGATATTATGACTTTTAGCGCTGCAATAGGGTGAGCCCCTATACTCCACTTAGGATAGAAAGACAGCAGTAAGAAAGTGGGTACGCTACTTTGAGAAGATATCTAGAGTATTATTAATTAATCTCTAGTATTATGAAAATTGTTTCCAGAGCAACTCGATTGCAAGAATTATACCAGATTTACCAATCGAAAACGCTATTAGTAAGTAACACTGTTGTGACTAACGTGAGGTGGTGTAGAAAATTTAGTTACCGTGACCAAAGTTTAATCGAGTTTTTATGTTCCACTCAATGTCAAATTTTCAATATTCATTGAAAAAAGCAATCATGTCACATATGATTTGAACATGACTATCTCTATAGTCATAACCCTTACTCATATACTTTTTACACAAAATGTAGAATTAATTTATTTTTTCTATATTATTTTCTATCAAAGCTATTATAGTACAAATACATTTTTCACAAATTATATCTATTTCATTATATTCATTTTATTTGTATGGTTTTAGGGTAACAATTTGGAGAACAACATCGCTGAAGGCATCATTGTGGCCAACCAAAGTCTTGTACTACAAAATGCTAGCCGGGCACGTAGTGGGATTTATACATGCATTGGAAGCAATCGGGAAGGTGACGGTGAGAGTAATCCGGTGCATTTGGACATAAAATGTAAGTGAATATTGTGAAACTATTTTATATAAATTTATTTCAAAAAAATTAATATTATTTTATTTTAAGAATATTAAAAAATATTTTTCAAATAATATTTATTTTATTATAAAACTAACAATGGTATTAAATAATAAATATTATATACACATAGCAACATATTAATAAAAGAAAAAGTATTTTGTTTAACATTCATAAGAGCAAATTCAGTCCAATTTCACTATTTTTCAATTTCATTTAAATCACAAATAAATGTGGTTAAATCAGATATAAAATTCTTTTGTGATTATTATGTAGAAATGTGTGTTGCAGTCTTAATTAAACATACGTACCTACACTAATTGCATTGTAACTATGCATTCACAGAATATTTGTCAAAATAAACCAAATAATTGGTCGAATGTAATGGTATATATTCCTTTGGAATGCCAACATATTATGGACATGGAATGTCCAAGTCATTGTTGAGAGCCAAAGCACTCTTAAACTCGGAGACTCGGAAACTTAATGAAAATGTTATTAGTACTTTTGAATGGTTTTCATACTTTATAAATTCTTTGAGTTACTGTCGTTTCTGACACCTAAACAAAAATCACAAAAATTTATTTATTAAAATACTGGACAAATCAAGAGTAATTTAAAATTTCATTTAATATTCAAATCATAAAAAGTTGGTTTTATTTTTCATTACACATTTTCTAAAAACATCACTGTCATACATACCTCAAAGACAATAAATTGTTTACGCAATTTTAAAAATTAATTAAAATAATTTTCACTTCCCAGGTGGAAATGGTGCAAAGTAACTTACTTCAAAGTTTATTATTTAAATGAATACTTACTGAAGCTATAGAGAACAATCATTATTTTAATAAAAATATATCAAATACTTGAAAAAGAACAAAAGTTATATATGGCATTTACTATAAGTCGGATAACACTATAGTCCGATCACTGATATACTTCTGAGCGGAATGAACTTTAAACAATTCCCTTCAAATTCAAGAAAACATTCAGTATCTGGTTTTATTCTTTTAAAAGAATAATTTTATCTCTTTTGGCTACTTACATGCTGCCCTTTAATATATTTTAATCAAAACATATAGGAAATGTCACTTGACAAAATCCTACATACATATTAAAAATATATATATTTGCAAAGCTGGCTTCGACAGTCTTTTTCGTCTTCTGTCAGAATACGTGGCACAAAGTACAGAAAGATCTTTCGTTGGTCCAAATTCTCCATAGAAATTTGATATATCTTCTGCTCAAAAACTACTCGGATTTTGTAAATAAAACACACAAATTTAAATTTTATTCCAAATTTATTTTATCTACTTCAAAATATACTCCTTCTGAAGCGATACCAATTAGGCAACGTAGCGATCAATATTGGTGGTCTGGTTTTTTTGAAGGAATTTGATGAACAAATTTTCATGTGCGTTCCAAAATGTGGACCCTATAACCTTGCCAACTGTCTCTGTTGCGTTTAATTATGTTACATTCATGTTATATTTATTTTTAGTAATATAAAGTTATTATTATATTTATTATTAATAATATTGTATATTATTATATTTATTATTTATATTACATTGAATTTTAACATCTGTTTTGACGAAAAAAACTAAATTCTTAATATAAAGTTTAATATAATTGTTTTCAATAGAAATGTATATCGAAAAGTATTAAATTACATGAATAAAAATTTATTAGTTTTATTAATTTTTTAATTAATTAAAGTAAATGAAAGTTATAGTTTATATAGTTTATGTATAGAATTTGAATTTGGCAGGGCACGAATTCAACGCTTGGTACTTCCAGTCTCAATAAATTATTTATATATAATTAAATATAAAAAATAATTCTAAGACCACTGATGATGTCTATTTGGCAGTACTCGAAACAGTTGTTAGTCAGTCAAAACTTCGAATTATTAATAAAAATAATAAAATTTCTTATTTATACTATATAAATATATAAAGCTCTCTTACTCAAAACAATATTTCAATTTCAGTTAAATCATTATGAAATTGTTTTTCGTTTCAAGTCTTCAGTAAATAATTTATGTATCTACACAATTAAGTTTTTAAATTTAATATTCCAAATTTTTATGTATTTACTCCTATTCATTTATAAGAAAATTACAAAATTAAATAAACTAGTATAATAGTATGTACAAATTTATTTTCACAATTTTTCACGTTTTATTAAAAATATTTCACCATAGAAATGGAATTCAGAAAAACAATTAAAAACAATTAAATAGAATAACTTTAACATTATATGAAATCATATTTTTTCAGGCAATTCAATTTTTTAACAATTTTAATTGCGAAATTATTAATTATACTTTGCCATTCAATCGCCAATAATGTGACTATAAATGAATTTTCCGATAAAGTTAAATTGAAAATCCTAAAATGGAAATCAGATAAGCCGGAGAGCAGTTCATATATTGGCTACAAAGCAAAGAATGCATTAAAGCGATTGAATTACATTTTAAGCTTTTTAAACTGAAGTCAATATTTTGTTTTAATTATGCAAATTAAATAACAACAAAAACATAACTTCATACTTCAGTCCAAACATTCCAACACTTACACACACGCGTACTTCCTTCTCCATTCAATCACTCATACTTGCCTTTCTTTATTGTAGTTGCACCACTCTGTCGCGCGGGCCAACGCACCACCTACAGTTCGGGACGTCATGAAACCGTTAAGGTTGCCTGTGAAATTGAAGCAAATCCAACGGAAGCAAGTTACATCTGGAAATTCAATGCGTCACTTGGCGAAACCATTGACATACCGGCATCACTTATAGCTGTCGACCGTGGACGTAGCATAGCACACTACACGCCTATGACGGAAAACGTAAGTGTGGCAGCACCGTGCAGAACACGTTACGAGTGTCACTGCATAAATTATGACATGCATGAGTGTTGACTGAACATACACAATGTCGGCTAGCTCAAGTTCGATATACCGAAGAAGTCTGAGCAATGTCCATATATGTTTATATGTTTGTTTAAGTTGTGTAAGTTGTGATAAATCATCAATTTTTCAATAGACGCGCATAATTTTCCGAACGAATTGTGGTTTTGAATTTTTATGAAGTTTGAAGTACCCATACATTTACGCAAACATAGAAACATGTACGCACACATGCATGCATAAATTATCCACTCAGTATGGGATCTGGGAGCCATTGAATTTGCATTGGTGCTTTGGTACTTAAATATCTTTTCTTGTAGGATTATGGAACTTTATTGTGCTGGGCAAGCAATGAAATTGGTGACCAGAGCGAACCGTGCGTTTATACAATTACACCGGCAGGTGAGTTAAATTGACTATTATGTCCTTTGCGCATTGGGATTCATTGAACGACATATCGGCAGTTCGATACACCGTATGAATATGCTAATAAGGCCGTACGTGTTAGAGTTCTGAAATCTGTAAGAAGCGTAAAATGAGCTAATCTATTCTTTGTCAACATTTGTCATAGCATTTATACTGAAAGTGGTCGGTATCTTAAAATGACCAGAATGTTTTGAAATGATTTGAACGCACTAGGGGAAATTGTTGTTCAACTATATTTGTAATTTGATTATTAAATTAGCAAGATTTGATGGAACATATAATTGAAACTATCAAATAGAAAAATTATAAACAAAATTAAATATTAATTATAAATCATAAATTTATCAGGTTTAAGATACTAAGACAGTATTTAAAGATATGACCTTCCTCACTATGCACGTTTTTTGGCATAAACTTGAATAGTGTAGTAATTATGGAAGGTAAACCTGAATAAGTTAAGAAATTATTAATAGTATTAATTAAAGTCCTCGGATATGATAATTACCTTTACCTAAAATAATTTACCTTTAAGGTTACGTTAATACGTTCAATAATTTTGCAGCTTTTTTATATTATCTTCAACAATTTAGAATGACTTTATTTAAATTATTACTGTGTTCACAGGACAAACATAAAACCTTTGTCACAAAAATCATTTACTTTAAATAAAACATTAAAAATTATTATTAACAAACTATTACTTACGATTTGTCACATTTTATTGTCTAATCGAACATTTGTAGAGTAACACTTTTGTAGTAGTGTTAGTAGACATTTATATTTTTTACACATACATATATCAAATCAAATCACACTTTATTTGTCAAGTTATATAAAACAGCTGTTAATTTCAGAGTAATCTTGCTACTCTTGCAAAATATCTAGGGTGTTATATATTAATCTGGAGTGTTAATCTTTTCGCTCGAGACTTACCAATCGAAAAAGAAAACTGTAATGAATGTGAATCTCAATTGAAAAATTTAGGCGATTTCCCAAGCCAAAAACGGCATTAGTTAGTGAGCCCTATATAGAGTCCAATAATAGAGTTCTTGGATTAAATCCTTAAGTGTCCGGACTCATACATGAAATTCATTTAAGTGCCCTATCAACTTAATGACAGGAATATGTAGTCTTTCTCTTCTTCTAGTCTTTATTCTTAACTTTGACTTTAACTATATATTTTACTAAGGCATAATTAACTTCATGAATAAACCAGCAAAATTACTGGATGCTAACCGGGCCAACAATATCAATGATATAAGTTATTTGTTATCAGCTATTGTCTGAAGCATATTCCTGCTGGATAGTGCATAGAAATGACAACGTAAATGATGTTTACAAGCAAACGTAGGTCACTAAGTTAAGTGTGTTACCAGAACTTTATGGTAACATTAACTGTTTCAAAGAGACAACTATTTTAGATTACGAACTACGTTGTCAGTTTGATAGAAAAAGAGTGATATTCTTAATTTTTGTATATACAAATCGGACAGACGCTTGTGGAATGAAATACCTGGAGTGAAGAAATGCATTCTAAAGACCACTAGGTAGTGCAGAGCCAATAAATGAGACTTTTCTCACTTATATCTGAATTGCAACTAACATTTAACCTATCAGCATGTCTCCTTATAAACCAGTGAGCCATCAATGTGACCATTCTATTGGATAGTGTAAAGCGAGTAAGACTTAGTTGCGCTTTTCTTTTCGGATTGCAGTTTGGCTATATATTCGTGTAGTTTGGCATTAATGCCTTTTAATTCATCTTTAGATCACATTTTGGATTATGTGTATCTCTACATACACACTGTAGAACTAATTTAACTAAAAATGATGCCTACATCTATAATATTATATACGTATTTATAAGACGTGACATTGGTTATTATAGAAACTATACTACATAATACCACATATAATAAGAATGATGAGACAAATGGCGCAATCAACTGATATCTATTTATAAATTTATCTATATGAAACTATTAGTAAATTATTCTTATGGATTTAAGGTTAATTCACTGACACAGATGCATTTTATCAATTCAAGTCGATCAAATTAAACAAAGGTTGAATTTGGTTGAATTTATTATGAAAAGTTCACATAAGATGCTACTAAAAATAAATGTATTTCAGCATACAGCATTTAATTCAATATATTAATAAAATACACAAAATTTATTTTCCAAATATAATTGTAGTTCATTCAATGGATGCTCCCTCACATGCATACCAAACACAATACTATAAATAGTAATGTGTTGTAACACTAATAGTTTTTCTTTTATCTCGTACTATCTGGGGATATATCACAATCTGAATATTTTGATGCCACGCTTCGAATTTTTTCTTCTTAAAATATCTTACCATCAAAGGAATGGATTGTTGTCCTCCGCTTCACAATATCTAAGGCACCACTAGTTTGCACTGCAATCGAAAAACACATCATCAACATCCGGATATTTCGATATCGTATTTTGAACTATTTCTTTTTCATGTAACTCTGAAAAAAATAAATCCCGGATAATTTGTTACCCATCTCTTAACCACTCCTGCACAGCCTACAAGTTTTCTTCCCACAATCCAGAAACGCATCAACTTCCAAATACCTTGTGCATCACCCTTTGAACTGGTCCTTCTTCACATATTTTATAACTAGATGAATATGTCTGGATGGATTATTTCCCCTTTTGCTTCTCAATTCCAGAACCAGCATGTAGATTGTGGGAAAAGTTTTTCGGCATTAATTCTTCAATTTAACGGCTGAGATGCGGCGTGGTGCTCCTGAATAGAGCATACCTCCCAACGGAATGTTGATCGAGGATAAGACCATAAATTTTTTTTGTTCAGCAACAATTTTATTTTGTAAATTGAATAACACAGTTGGCTTATTTATGACAGTGTGAACCTTTCTGCATCTATTTTTTTTCGTTACGACGCACACATAGTCAGGCGGACCATATTCTCCACGATTCAAATTTAGTAATGCAATCATTTTTACCAAGAAGAAAATTTTGTGAACCAAATTTGTGGTCAATAATAAATATATGAATTTTGTAAACTTTATGTTTCTAAATTTTGATTCATTACTTACATTTTTTTTCTGAAATTAAAATATTTAGTCTACTATGGTTTATGGAAACAGTTAATGTATATATATATATTTTAATATATGGGTTAACTAAGTTTAAAATTAATATTTTTAAGAATTTTTAACAATTTTGATTTACAATGGAATTTTTATTTGAAATTAAGAACGTATCTATTCTTCTATGTACTACAAACATTGAGCCGTTCTTGATAAGAACATACGATGAAAACAAAGTCTCTCAATTTGAATTCGCTAAAACTCTTATATTGAATCTATTCTTACGATCCCATCTGCTAATGTTCAATATGATTACAATTTCTAAGTGCAAGAGCTGCTAGATACATAAAATTTATTTATTAGAAATTTTTCCTAATGTTGCCAATCATTACTAAGAACCGGTTTCTGCTGGTTTGAATGTGATTAAGTAGATGTTCGAGAATATCCTGGTCCAAAACGTGTTGCAAATGCGACTTAGTTGAGTCGCAAATGACAAAACTTGAGAGTTTTTCCTTGATGAGTTCTGTGTCCATTGTGGTATCCGATTTAAAGAGCAAATTTGTTTTATTACTCATACTAAAGCAAAAAGTGTTGTATATCATGAATATGTTACCGCTAACAAAGACAACTTATATAATATATTTAAAAGATCTTTAATAGAAAATCGACTGAAGTATGATATTATACGGCTTAGGTTAGGTTAGTAATAACGAGTAATCGAGTAATAACAATTGATGAAACATAGATCCATTACTTCATACCTAAGGGAAAACAATAAGCCAAAGAATGGGTAGAATCTGGAGGTAGTGTTCCCAAACGAGTTGAACTCAACAATCGGCGGGAAAAGTTTTGGCTTCCGTATCTTGGGATTCAAGTGGAATCATTTCCATAGACTATTTGGAAAAATGAAAAACAATAACATCAGACTACTATTGCATATTATTGGGTGGATTGAATGAGGAAATCAAGAAAAAAGGAACACATTTGTCGAAAAAAAATTTTGTTTTCGCAGGATAACACACACTTAACACACGTCAACGAAAACCAAGCCAAAATTAAATGAATTACGGAACAAAATACTTCTTCACCCACTAGATTTCTCCAGATTTGTGTCCCAATGACTATTACTTGTTTCCACACTTGAAAAGATGACTTCAGCGAAAGAGATTTTGAAGTGGAATGGGAAACTGGGATACATTTTGGAAGATTTTTGATAAATCGTAATATTTAAAAAATATACAAATGTTGAAAGATTATTGGACTCGGTGTGTCGGGCTAAAAGGGAACTATATTGAAGCATAAAATTTAATTTTTCAAATATTTATCAATACCCTTAGTATGATCCAGATTGATCATAATTATAATCCAACAATAATAATAATAATAATTTATTTATAATAATAAAAATAATTATTTATTAATCCACCTAGTATAATCCAGATCGCTCTTAATAATAATTCTTGTCTATTCCTACTACATTTGTAGATATGCAGTATGAAATCATACGATATTTAATTAATGTTCGATTATTAAGTTTTGTGCATAACGAAGAATTCGCTTTTAAACTTAAACTATACATAATTTCCATTACTTAAAAAATTTCATCAATTTGTAATATTTAATAAATATTATTTATAAACATTTATTAAATTTCAAATTTCCAAAATAAACACATGTGAGAAATATTCAATATCCTCATATTTACTCTACTAAACAAACATGAAGAGTCTACTCGACATCCGAAATTTATGGTATATAAAAAAAAAATCATTACTTTGAACTATTTATTTGGGTGGGAGTACATTAGCATACATTTAAGCATTTAACAATCTGATTTCATGAATGAAATTTTGTGAAAATAGAAATTACTTAAAATTGACCACTTGACAGGCGAACCGGATCCTTTGGTTAACTGCACATTACTCAATCAAACATCGACTGGTTTTCAAATTGAATGCATTGAGGGTTTCGATGGTGGCCTGATGCAAGACTTTATAATGGAAGTTTACGTAAATGGCACAACGCGTCATCCCAAAATTTACAAATCAAAGTGAGTACGAAATTGTGTGGCTGCTCTGCACTCAACGCTTTCAACAATCTGAATCTGAATACTGAAACTGATTTGTGGATTTTTGTGTATTTTTTCTATTTCTATTTCCGTTTCATGAAAATATTTTAAAATAGAACGCCATACTTTGAAGTACGTGGTTTAGTGCCAGGCGTCGGATACAATGTCTTTTTGATTGCACACAATAGCAAAGGACGAAGCAATGCCACAATTTTGCAAGTCTACACACTCAAGGATCCTGAAAAGCAAACAGGTAAACCAAAAAAAAAATTAAAAATAGATAAATCAAAGCAAATAGTAGAGAAAAAAGATATCCTCTTTGGTAGCAGCTAAATTAAAAGAATATATTAACATTATTTATATTTAGTTAGAATAAATACTAAAAAATTAAAAATTTTTATTTTATTAATGTTAAATAATATTTTTATAATATTAATATAATTTTTTTTATATATATTTTCTTCAGTGATTTTATTTTACATTGAAAATAAGGCATGTTTTGAATAAGTTTTAAATATAATTTTTGCTAATATTTTAACATAAAGTTTTTTCACATTTTATTTTTATTAAAATAAATTTCAGTTATTATAACATATAAAAAAAGCTATCAACCAATTTTGTTTCAAAATGAGTTTACAACAGTTTTTCCAATACCAATTGCAACTTTTACTAATAAATCAACCGATAACAGTAAGAATAATAACAGTTTTTAACTATAAAAGTTCATCCCAGCCATACAAGAGTTCATGACTCTATCGAAAAAAAAGAAATCACATTTTATTTTCCAGCATAAAAAATCCTGCAAAAAAATTCAATTTTTATTTGAAAAAGTTTAAATGTCGAAATTTTTTCTCTTTTTTATTTTTATTTTAAATACAACATAGACCATTCACTCGCTTATGCACCCGTCATAGAGGATATCCGGCCATTTTTGGGCATATTGGTTGGCATAGTTGGCAGCATTTTTCTTGTTGCGCTTATAATTGTGATAATTGTGCGTGTACGAGGCTCATCTGGCCGTGATCGCAATAATTACTCCCAGCATTCTGGCGGCGGACGAAATAACAATGGTAGCGCCGGTATGGGTACATTACAAAATGGTCAATCAATACAGGATATGCGCAACGGAAGAGAAACCTGTCATGTTACCAGCAGTTTAGATAGCATTGATAAAAATCCAGATATCATACCACAGGGTAAGTTTCATTTCAGTTTCATTTCCAAATTACGTTCCAACAGATTCAATAATTTCTATGCATATCACAAAAAAAAATCCTGTTGTATTTTTTTCATTCTGCTTTAAAGATGGACGCGATGATGATGATGAATGGACAACCAAAGGACATAATCGTGCTTACGCCACTGCCGCTTTAGCTGAACAAAATGCTGTAATTACTTCAACTACTTATGACCATATTGTGCCAACTTATGCTGTTGTCGACAAGAAATCACAAAGTCATTTGCAACTACTGCAGCAGCAACAGCAACATCATGGACAATATGTCCAATATAGCACACTGATACCAGCTAGCAAAATTGCAGCTTATCCTGCTCAACAGCCACAGCCACAGAATAAGGTAAGTTTCGGTGAGGCTCGAAGCCTAGAATAATTTCAAACTTGCAGTTCGTTAAACAATAATTATTTATAATTACACAGAAAACCATTGTGAAATGGTTGAAAGACAGTTGTCTTTTGAAATGACATATTAATACACTTAAAACGTTTAAAAAATAATAAATCTCTTCCAACTAAAATATTTAACTACCAAACAAAACTTAATTGGACTAATTTGTGAAACAAACAAGATGTAGTTGAAGTTGAAGGACATGTAGAAGATAGATTAGAAGAAGTAGTAGAAGATCTTGATATGCAGTTGGATATTAGCTGAACAAATTGTATGCAGTGGTTTAACTATTTACTTATTACTATTTTTTGAAAGCTATAACTTTTTAAAATGAGGAAATATGTAAAGATTTAAAGACTTAAAATTTCCTATAACGATATGGCGATCATGATATCATGATATGACGATCACGTTATGGTATGACGATCCTGCCATGTTATGGTGACCCTACCATGGTTATCGTGCATGATATGCCGATCCTACCATGATATGCCGATCCTGTCATGATATGGCGATCCTGCCATGATATGGTGATCCTACCATGATATGGTGATCCTACCATGATATGGTGATCCTACCATGATTGGTGTTCGTGCCATGATTTGATGATCCTGCGATAATATGGTGATCCTGCCTGATATGGCGATAGTACCATGATATTGCGATTCTGCCATGATATGTCGGACCTACCATACCGTGGCGATCTTGTGTTTATATTGCAATCCTGCCTGAGTATGGTGATACTATCACTATATAGTGATTCTGCCATTATATGGCGATTCTGTCATTATACGGCGATCCTGCTATGATATGGCGATTCTGCCATGATATGGCGATTCTGTCATGATACGGCGATCCTGCTATGATATGGCGATTCTGCCATAATATGGCGCTTTAGCCATGATATGCTGATCCTACCATAATATAGTGAACCTGCCATAATATGTCGGACCTGTCTAACTATAGCGATCCATTCTTAATGTTGCAATACTGCCTGAGTATGGTGATACTATCACAATATGGCAATCCTGCCAAAATAAACTTTTAATCGTAGAATAATTTATAATTTCTAAATTATAAATAAATTTTTTTTTAGTCTGATAATACTAATATTGGTAAATACATGTTTGATTTAAACTTAATTTTAGTATAGCAAAAGAAAACTGCATACTATTACAGAAGTCTCATATTTTGATAAGATTTTGGTTATATATATATGTAAGCGACAATACTAAGCAGTAGTAAGAAGTCATAATTCTGGTCAACGTCAGTAAGTTAAGAAATGTCAGAGTGTTACGAAAAGAGTCAGTAAGTTATGAGGAGTCGGAGTAGTTGCAACTGGTTTTGCTTGGCGATGTGTTGAGGAAACCGACATATTTAGGGAATTCTGGAGTCGACACAACTTTTTTGTCTTTACTTAAATACATTATAAAATACGATTTATATTTTTAAGTGGAAGAAGCAATTCATAACATTAACAATCTTGCATTTGTGGGCATATTATAAATCATATTTGTATTATGAGATCTATTTTTTTTGTTATTGTTTTATATTTTAGATATTTCATGCTTATTAAGAAACCTATTCTATGTATGCTAAGATCCTTTTCTGTTTTTTCTAAAAACTCTCTTATTGGAATACGGCAACATAGGCACATATCTAATTAAAAATCTAAAATCAGGGAAAATTACATTCATTTTTCAAGATAAGGGAGTCTTATTATTTGATTAACATGATATTTCTCATTTTGTATTTTTATTGATTAAATTTTTGTAAAAACCCTTCCAGTAGTAAATACCATAGCTTTTGTAAAGAAAGAATGTTATATTTCATGCCTATTCGCCTATCACAACTTTGGGATTTCGATATAAAAAATTGCAAATGCGGTATGGGAATTCAAAAGCAAATAAATTCACCACAAGACTAAAATTTAATTAAACTGGCAAAAGAACAACGAGTTCAGTTTGAGAAGTTACACTAAAATATGTAGGCACATAAGTGCACTGATAAACAGACATGCACGGAATATGACGCTCAAATAATGGAAAAAAAATGTTTTAGGAGAGTGAATCTGAAACTAAAAATGTGCAGTTGGAAATGCATTTTAGCTTATCAACACCGAATGCAACAAAGTATACCATTCCTGTGTATCAACACTGCCAGCAATCGCTTCATACCCAGTTCCTTACCTGCACCCGCAATGCAAGCAAACCCATAAATATTAGAGACGAAAATAGCATGTCAGGATATCCGCTTTCTATGCAACACCAAAAATACCAGAACTGATATAGTTTAACGCAAAACTTGAAGTAGTGCTCCTGCAGCTG